GGTGCCACACAATCTGTGTGGTTTGTGTTCCTCTTACAGTCTTGTTTGCAGAAGCACCTAAGGAGTTTGAGGGAATATGTAGTTTTCCAAATTGAGCAAGTATTTTGTGTAGTTGTTATCTGCCCAGGGAAAGCGAGTTTTGAAGTCAGGATGGCTTAGCAGGCTCGTGGGATAGATCCAGTCAGCATCACCATTCAGAGCTATCCATCTTTATGATAATATGAGCCGAGCCTTCCCCCCTGCACCTGCTGAAAGGCTCTACAGATCATTTGGCAACATGCTAAGGGATCATGTGGAGGTCACTGCTTTGATCAAATAGATTTCTCCTTTGTAATCTAAGTCTGGTGGGGGGGGGCATGTGCAAATAGTTACTTTGCAAAGTTAGTGTTTTATTACGAGATGTTCTTTGAGTAAGAGTTTCCCTGTTGAGCCAGTTCCCCTGTGTCCTGTGTTGTACCCAAGCATGGAACAGAGTGTGGTTCAGCTTCACCTCTCTGTGTGTCTTATTGGCTACATAGCACCCCAGCTGCAGCCATCTCCTATGAAGAGCAGAAGGCACCTTGATGGGTCCTGCTGCTAGAGGGATTGATTGGTGTGTCATGTTTTCTTGAAACCTGTGATAACCAAGAAGTTGCCACATTTTCAAATTACAAAGGAAATTACTAAATGGAAGGGCAAAGGTCATGTGTAGGTTATAATACAACCCTAGCATGACAAAGTTAGAAAAACTTACAAGTACTAATCACCAAAAACTAAATTAACCTAACTAAACACAGGCTCTTCACCTTGTATGTGCTTCTTCTTGCTATCTGCCGAGTAAGGCTGGCACTTCCTTAATGCCCCAGATAAACTCTAAGGCAACAGCTGCATTCTGGAAGAAAAACTTCAAGTGGCAGTCAGACAGCCCTTGGTAGTTGTCTGAGGAGTGGCCTAGAAAGAAGATAAACTTGGCCAGTGAACCCAGGGCTGTAGGAAGTGGGGCTGTGCTTAGCCATTAGCGCCCTTTTGTAGAAGAGTAGAAGTAGTTAATGCTGCCTGGTGGAACTTCACCTTCAGCATTATAGGAAGAGAAAAGAAAAGAAAAGAATCTCAAAGGAGGCGTCCCAGTAAGGGTTTCTATTGCTGCAATGAAACACCATGACCAAAGCAAGTTGGGGAGGGAAGGGTTTATTTGGCTTATGCTTCTACATCACAGTTCATCATTGAAGGAGGCCAGGATAGGAACTCAAACCGACAGGAACTCAAACCGGACAGGAACCTGGAGTCAGGAGCTGCTGCAGAAGCCATGGAGGGTGCTGCTTACTGGCTTGCTCCCTATGACTTGCTCAGCCTGCTTTCTTATAGAACCCAGGACCCCCAGCCCACGGATGGTGCCACCCACAATGAACTGAACCCTTTCCCAGCAATCACTAATTAAGAAAATGCCCTCAGCTGATCTTAATGAGGCATTTTTCTCAATTGACGTTCCTTCTCAAGTCATTCTAGCCTGCATCAGGTTGACATAAACCTAGCCAGCACAGAAGGTATTTTAGAATTCCTTTGTTTGAAGAATTAGAAAGAAAGAAGGAAGGAAGGAAGGAAGGAAGGAGGAAGGGAAGATGGAAGGAAGGAAGAAAAAGAAACTGACAAACATAAAATAGTGTTTATTAGCTTATGTATCCAAAATAAGTAGGTAAGTAGGAGCAGTTAGACCTGGAAGCTCAGGATCAATCAGGGTTTTTCCCTTTCCCTCCTCCCTTAGCTTGGCTCTATTTTGGTATCTTGCTGGGTGGGTTTTTATCTTCATAGTGGCCACCGGAAACTCCAGGACATTAATTTAAACAAAGGGGTGGCGGCTACCTTTTCATGGAGTTCCAACCTGGGTTCTGGGACCTAACCTCCTTGCCCATTCCTGAATGAATCATTATGGTTGGGATGGGACAGAGTTTTGTAATTTGCCACCCTGGGGTATAAGTCCCACCCAGAGGGAGGCAGGTGTGTTATTGGCACACTTGAATAGGGAATGGGAAAGGGGAACTACCGATTCCCAAAGGACCCTCAGGGTGGTTCCCGGAGAGAGCAGATGATGTGCACGCCACACATCTGAGCGTGTTTAGCCAGGATACTATGTCTGAGGAAGTAAATCACTTTTCTGCTACAGACTAGAGAGAGAGAGAGAAATGAACAAGGCAGGAGAGACACCAGGGTAAGATGGCTTCAGGAATGCTAGATATCAGAGTTTTACACAGCAAACCCCATTTTCCCCATTGTTCGTGACAAAGTAACGACTCTGCTCCTACAAGGAAAGAGTCCACTGGATCTGAGTGTGAGCCCCTGGATAAAAGTAGCTGCGGTGAAGGCTCGCAGGCCACCAGGCGAGCTGGCTGGGGTTGCAGCTGCCCCGTGCCAGTTCACCTTTCTTTGAGGTTTTTCCAGAATCTTGACGCTATTTCCCTTCTCTTTCTTAGTAAACAATTCATTTACATTTTCCTTAAGCTAGAATATCCCCTGATTCTACCTGGGACCCCAAAGACTTCTCCATCAGCTTACACAACAGAGTGGACTGCATCTCTTCCTGCTGCAGCCTGAAGCTCTGCATGAGCAGAGCTGCTGCTTGTGTGAGGTGTGAGCCCACATGTAGGGGCTTCCTAGGCTCCTTGGAAACAGGGGTGAGGGGGAAGATAGACAAGAGGCTGGGAAGGCAGGTGCAGCCCTCAGCGGGTGCAGTGACAACAGTGGACGTGAATGTAAATGAGACTAGAATCACAGCCTATACTACAGAAGATAATATGCGCACATTCCTGAAGATAGTCAGATTAAACAACAGAGTGGCAAATCTAAATGAAAATACTGTAGATCCTCTAGTGTTGCTTATGCTTACTCCCTCCCTGTCCTCTATGAATTTCGGGATTTCTATCATGATTATTTTTGAGCCATTGTAGCTGCCGCCGCCACCCACCATTACCACTTCCTCTTCCTTCTTTTCCTCCTGCTTTTTCTCCTGCTTTCCTTTAAGGCTTTTGGAACAGTTTCACTTAGCAGCCCAGGCTGCCTTGAGATCTGGTATATGTAGCCCAGACTGGCCTCAAACTTATGGTCCTTCTGAGTACTATGATTACAAGCATAAGCCACCACATGTGGCTGGCTCTTCGAGCCATTTTTACTCATTCATTCATTGAGTTATTGAGCAAATACTTATTGAACACCTACTGTGTGCTGGCCCATTTCTAGGGGATACAGTGGACAATAAAACAAAATCCTTGGCTTCGTGCAGTTTGCATTCTAAGGAAAAGAACAAACAATCCGTAAGGGCTTATGCGAGCTGAACAGCACCGTGTGCTAAGAAGAAAATAAGCCAGGCAAGAAGGGTCAAGTGCTAGTGGAAGGAGGCTGCCACTTAATGTTTAAAAACAGGATATGAGGGCTGGAGAGATGGCTCAGCGGTTAAGAGCATTGCCTGCTCTTCCAAAGGTCCTGAGTTCAATTCCCAGCAACCACATGGTGGCTCACAACCATCTGTAATGAGGTCTGGTGCCCTCTTCTGGCCTTCAGGCATACATGCAGGCAGGATATTGTATACATAATAAATAAATAATTTTAAAAAAAAAGGGTAAAAACAGGATATGAGCTAGGTGGTCTGGAGCAAGCTGGCAGCCTTCCCCAAGGAGAAGCCCCTGCTGTAACAGAAGAGGTGAGGCCCAGATACAGGGGCAGAAGCAGATTGCTGTACTAAAAATCTAAAAAACAGCCAGTCGATGATGGCATACACTGTAAATCACAGCACTTGGGAGGCAGGCAGATCTCTGTGAGTTCGAGGCCAGCCTAGTCTACAAAACAAGTTCCAGGACAGCCAGGGCTATACAGAGAAACCCTGTCTAGAGAAACAAAACACAAAAAAAAAAAAATTAAAAAAACAAACAAAACAACAACAACAAAACCCCAAAACAACTAGGTGGGCAGAATTGCTCAGGATAAGTGAGCAAAGGATAGCATGTTCAAAGGCCTCCTTGGTTCTTGGATCATGGAGAGAGGGTAGGGCAAGAGGGAGCGTATACAGGGAAGGGGAAAAGGGAAGCCCATTGAGAGGTCAGGGCAGAATGAAGGGGCCTGATGTGCATGTTAAACAGTTGTTCCCACTGTGGTAAGGAATAAGGACAGAAGCGGACAGAGCAATTAAAAGGTTGCTGAGAAAAAGCAGACCTGACATTGAGGACCTGAGAGGTTGAGGTAAAAGCAGGGAGACATCCAAAACATGTGCAGCCCTCGTTTTTCTGGCTGGGGTGAATGTGGAGCTGGGCTCCGATGTGATTGCACTCTTGTTCGTACAAACTGTGGAGGCCTACTATGGATGGGGGACGGGATCCAGGAAATGAGCTGTAAGCTGAGATCTAATGCCTGTCATGAAAATGTTTCTCACAGTTACAGTTTTACAAGGGACATCACACTGTATTGAAGAGCTGTAGCAAAGGCATGGAGCACTGCTGAGCTTTGGGCTGACGGTCATGGAGCATTTACAGTCATCTGACTTTAGAATCCTAAAATCTGGAGAAGCCTGGCGGTCCCTTGCTGCTGTGCAAATCCAGCCATGACTTGTAGTGATCTAGCCTATACTGGATTTTCCATAGCCCAGAGATCATAGAATGTTAGTGGCAGTACATTAGAGCCCTGCCTAGGATTAGCAAGTCCAGGAATTTGGATGCCTAGTCACCACCTTCCACTTACAGAGAGCAGCTGTGACCTTAAGAGCTACAGTGTAGGTGTCTTTGTGTGGGCTGGTGAAATGGCTCAGAATAACCCTGATGGCCTGAGTCCAATACCCAGGATGCAGGTGAAAGGACAGAACTGGCTCTTGCAGCTCATCCTCTGATCTACACACACACACATGCACGCACACACACACACATTAATAAATGTAAAAATAAATAAATCTTCGTATTCACCCTCATCACATGCATGATATCTAGATTTACTTGCCTTTCTGTCCTAAATAATGAGTTCCGTCTTTCTGTTTTGGACCCCAGGGGTTGCCCTTCTCTCAGATGTGTACCCTGAAGAAATCTTGGTTGACCTGTTGGCCAAATACGATAGTGGCAAAGAGAAGCACACTCCAGAGACCAGAATGAAAGTTGGAGAGGTCCTGATGCGAATTGTCAGAGCATTAGGTGAGTTTTTTGTTTGTTTTTCATCTCATCCTCTGAAACAAAGCAGTGTGGTTTTAAAATCTTTGTGTACTGGAGGGCTCATCCTACTAGCAGATCAGGGGTAGTGACGAACTGTTTAGGGATTGCGCACATATTGAGCAAGTAAAACTGTGAGAAGATTGTTTATTTTCCTATAGCTGCTTAGTTTCCCTCCCCAAGAGCTGTTTCCCTGGGGTCTGTGTGATTAGAATGGGCTCTTGATTGCAAACCAGGCTGGCCTAAGATACACTGAACAGTTCAGGCAGGCCTCCATCTCACAGTCTGCCCCCTCATCCTAGATTGCTGGGATTATAGATACACCCCACCATGCCCAACAAGTCCTTTAGACAGGCTGTTGTTAGACCCAGGAGGAATGAAATGTGACTCAGACCTTCAGCAGTTTGTCAGCATTCCTTCGCCAGAGAATGGTAGTGCTAGAACTGAACCACCCTGAAGGAGTTGCTCCCTGCCTACAAACTGAGAGTAGTGATTGTCTCGTGGGCTGTGGATGTGGCTTTCCTGGATTCAAATACTGAGCTGCTTCTAGCTGGTTGAGTGATCTTGGGAATGTTTCTTTGCTTTTTGGTGCTTTAGTGTTCACATGTATAAAGAGGATATTCATACTAAATAAGGTCATATTTTGAATAATAAAATTAAAGGGAATCAACTGGACCTAGTGGTACAGAACTGGAATCCCGGCTACTTAAGAACCTGAGGTGGAGGATCACAGTTCAAGTTCTGCCTGGTTTACAGAATGAGTTCAAGAACAACCTGGGTAACTTAGTGAAACCCTATTTCAGGAGTTAAAAGAGGGAGGGGGGAATGTAGCTCAGTGGTAGAGTGCTTGCCTAAACTGTATGAGGGCTTGGGTTTAATCTCCAGTACTGCAAAAACAGCCAAAACCAGAAACATAAGGGGGCACTGGAGAGGCGGCTCAGCCCACATCAAGCAGCCAGGTCATTTTCTGCGATGAGAGATAAAGGATGGGCTTACTGGAGAGAGGCTCCGCTCCTCTGCAGGTATCTGTAGTTAACCACGTTTCCCAGGCAGCCCTGTCATTTCAAGGCAAATCCCATGAATTCTGGCAGCTCTACTCCCTGCACCTCACTTTTCTGAGTTTCCAGCCTCGAGAACAGTCATAGCTTTAGTTTGCTTATTTGGGTTTTTTTGAGACTCTCTCTATGTAGTCCTGCAGACCAAGCTGGCCTCAGACTCACAGAGATGCACCTGCCTTGGCCTCCCGAGTTCTGGGGTCCTGGCTAGTCACAGCTTTAACTGTCTCATTCACATCCTGGTGCAGCATCCATAATCTGAAAATTTAGACTCCCCAAATGGTCCAAAATCTGAACTTTTTGAATACTTCTTATGATGTCATAACTAGAAAATTCCATACTACAAAACTTTGTTTTATTCAAAAAACATTTTAAGTAAAATTACTTTCAGTTTATGCATATAAATGGTATACAAAACAAAAATGAATTTTGTGTTTATACTTATACATATCCAGATATTACAAAGGTCAGAAAATTATGAAATCTGAAAGACTCTGGTCCTCAGCTTCTTGGATGAGGTGCAGTCCCCTGTGCCAGTGTGCTGGGTGCATAGAGCAAACGACTTAAAGTCCTTTCAAGGGAAATAGGGCTTATTCATATGGCACAAGCAGTGTTCTTATTTTGCTAATGTTGTGGAGGTCCGTGTGGGCACCAATGTGATGACGCTTGCCTAATGCACACACCCCAATTGCATTCAGGGCCTTGCTCCTTCTTACCCTCAGCAGTGTGTAGTGGTGTGAAAGGAGCTGGGATTCAGTACAATGCCCCTCTCTTGGCCTCATCCCCTAGCTCCTAGCTGTACAGGGTGGTGGTGGGAGAACTCAACAAGAGTTCATTTCTCCTTCTGTTTTAAAACTTGGACTGGATGTGGTGGCAGAGGCAGGCAGATCTCTGTGAGTTCAGGACCAGCCTGGTCCATATATTAAGTTCCAGGTTATCAAGGGCTATATATTGGCACCTATCTCAAAAATCAAAGCAAAACAAGCAAAAACAAAACAAAAACCCCTCAAGGTATTCTATATAACTAGCTATGTTTATAGTACACTAATGTCAAGAGTACAATTTTATGACATTCAGTTTACTTAACTACTATTCAAATTAGAAATGAACCCCCAAAACTTCCTTTTGCCCTTTCTAGTCTGTGCCTGCCCCAGAGATAAGCAATCTTCTGAATTGTTTTTTTATCATTTTCAGTTTACTTTGATTGGTTTCTTTTTTGTTTTGTTTTTGTTTTTCGAGACAGGGTTTCTCTGTAGCTTTGGAGCCTGTCCTGGAACTAGCTCTTATAGCCCAGGCTGGCCTCGAACTCACAGAGATCCACCCGCCTCTGCCTCCCAAGTGCTGGGATTAAAGGTGTACACCATCACCGCCCAGCCACAGCAACTTCTTACCTCTGCAAAATCCTCAGACTGAAAAAAGAGCCAACCTCCTGTCTCCTCCCTCTTTATATTCTCTCTCTGCTGAGCCATATCACTTCCTCTCTGTCTGTACGGACCTCTAGACCTCTATGGTTAGCTAATGGCTAGCTCCACTCTCTGATCTTCCGGCAAGCTTTATTTGTTAGAGTACACACAAGATATCACTGCATTTCCCCTTTTTTGTCTAAAATAAGAAAGAAGGTTATAACTAATATAAGAAAAACTATGTACAATAAGTACAATATATATGCTATATACAGGCAACAAATACATCAGCAATGTCTAGTTCATTAGCAGTTGACAGATTCAGAAAAAATACACCATGTCTCTCCTATCTTGGTGAGTCCTAAAGGTTGTCTTTAATTCACTTTATTCTAACTTACATTACCAAAACTATATTTTTATGTCTCTTAAATTTATACACTTTTACACCTCTTTAGTGAATTTCTTTTCTGAATCTGGTGATAAGGAAAACTATAACTATAAAGTCTTCAACTCTGTCACAGACCCAAGAAGGAAATAATATTACCTGAGTAAATGGGAAGTGCAAGCAAGCAACTTCCAAAAATTATGAGAAATGACAGAAAAAGCTGGCTGCCTGGACAGTCATCCATGGTTTCTCTGCAACATTGGGGCATCCATCTTCAGCCTATAAGCCTAGCATGTCTGACTGACTTTTTGTGAAGCAGGATATTCTGAAGGGCTATCCTACCTTGTCTTGGCAAAATTTGACAGAGGTAGGTGGATCTCTGTGAGTTTGAGGCTACCCTGGTCTACAAAGTGAGTTCCAGGACAACCAGAGCTGTTACACAGAGAAATCCTATCTTGAAAAACCAATGGGAGAAAATAGGTTCAATAATCTACCCTTATATCCTATCATATCTCCCTTTTTTCTTTTCAAAACAAGAACTCTGAATCTAATCTCCTTTGTTCAACTTTTTTCCTAACCATAACCATTAACCAACCACCCTAAATGATGGCAATTATCCATAACCCATTGAATGACCAAAACCTACCCACTCTATCTCTTGGGAATGTGGGCATCAAGTACTTAAATTTACTTCCTGCAATCTGGGGGTGATGGCATCTTTAGGGGATGCTGAAAAGAAAAATTTGGGTTAATGGTCAAGTCCTGGAAGAGATAGCTGTATCATTTCTTGTCCAGTCTCTGCATAATGGGAGAGTGAAGGATTTTGTCTCAAGTTCTGGCTAGAGTAGTCTGAGGCTGGAAAATCTCAGCTAGCCACCTCAAAGTTGCCCTTTAGATGATGTTTGTCAGCTTAGTGGTGTTATCATAGTTCTGGAGGAATCATTGTGGGTCCCCATTCTCTTTTTGGAGATTTCAAAAGTTGCTTTTAGGCATGTTCATGGTTCACCGCAGAAAACTGAAATCATGTACAGAAAGTTAGATGAAACCTTTTTCTGGAATTAGTTAGTACTCTATATGACTAATAATATCATGACAAAAAGTTTAATTAATGTATATATATATATATATATATTAATCTTACAAATTTACATTGTACATTAGCATTTTCAAAAGCCAGACATTCAATAATTATTTATCTAGCTTCTGAATTTGATATCATTCTATTTACTACTAAAGTCAGTCTTTGTAAGAATTCTGTGAAAGTTTCCTTTGGGCCCTGTATAACTTTAGTAAATGACTCACTTTCCTTTCCTACTTCTTTAATTCTGTCCCCAAGCATTCAAAGCTGCTGTACAACCTAAAGTCAAGGCGTGGTCATAATAGAAAAATTGCCTTTGTTCATTAGCATAATTTGCCTCTCCATGAAGGTGGTCTTGGGAGATTTCCATACCTCTAGCCCTACTTCATTGTCCAATGGTCTTAGCCTCATCTTTCCACCAGGTCCTCCATTATAATTGAGGACCAGGATTCAAGACTACTATAACCAAGTCTTTCCAGTCTTGAGGGATAATTCTATTATAAGTTGATAATTCTATTATAAGTTCAAATCTGCTTCACAAAAGGTGAATGCATATAATATGAGACTGTTGCTTCCTTGAATCTCCTTAAATCTAACATTTCCACAGGAGTACCTTCAGCTCTTGTACAGCCTTTGGGATATCTATCATTTGGCAGTTGTTCCTATAAGGATATATTAATGTTGGTTGTTTGAAAACCTTAGACTGTTTCTCTCTAACCTTAAAGTGCGATGATGAGATTGTTTCCTCTTTAAATTCCTTTGTCTGGATCTGAATATCTTTATGATTTGTTTTGTGAAGTTTTTCTAAAACTTGCATCTTAGCACTCGGATTAACCAACTTTTTTTAAGTGATAAAAAAAAAAGGTGGTGGCGCACGCCTTTAATCCCAGCACTCGGGAGGCAGAGGCAGGCGGATCTCTGTGAGTTCGAGACCAGCCTGGTCTACAAGAGCTAGTTCCAGGATAGGCTCCAAAACCACAGAGAAACCCTGTCTCGAAAAACAAAAAAAAAAAAAAAAAAAAAAAAAAAAAAAAAAAAAAATTATATATCTGATGTTTCTAATT